AATAAGAAAATGTGTATCTTAAATCCATATCAAAACTTTTAATTAAATTTTGTTTTTCTAAATTATGCTGACATGATTGGATTTTTGTTTTTTTCTCAGATTAGTGTATGGGACGCTGCTCTTTCTCATTGCTGCGGGGACTACCGTGGATATCTGGCGAGAGAGAGTGAAGGACGCGAACAAGGAATCTGGAGAATCCAGCACTAGTGCTCCTGATGCGGCAGTTGGGAACTGTAAGTTAGAGGACTGATGACTGTAAATGTTTTATGCCTCTTTTGACATACTTGAGGTCACATTTTGTGTTGCATCGTGATGAAATCAGGTGCTCAGCAAAATAATGAAACTTATGCAGTTGCGAGCGCCGTAAAACCTTACTAAAACTAACTAACTAAAAAATGAAATCGAAGGAACAGTTCTCTTTCCACCGTTGGGCAATTTTTCTTCTTTTATTTTTCTTGGAACTCATTTGACGTTCATTTCAAAAGACATTTCTGTGTTGATTTCACTGAAAAAAACGTTAATAAAACGTGCTAAAAATGTGAATTTCTGATTTAGAAGGCTTGCTGCTTCGATCTGGCCTCTCAGGGATAAGTCGGGTCAAGAGGAATACAGCATCTCGTAACGCTACTCAGAATTATAAAGTTCTATAAGACATTTTTGGCCGTTTTGAGTTACTAAGACCATGAGGTCAGAAAGCAAAGGTTCTGTCTGTTCTCTTAAGATCGGAAGAATATTAGAAGTCGTTTTCAAAATATTCAAAGAATGGCATTCGAAAAATGTATGAGATGTTGTGAAACTCAAAATTTAGACGTCAAATTTCTAAATTAATACTAAGTAGATAGAACTTTATAATTCTGAGGCAGCAATAAGTGAGATAAAGATAATTGATCATAATAATATAAAAATCCGACTTGGAGGCTGAACACAAGTTTTCAGTGAGCAACGCTGTCGTAAGATGGATTCATTAGTTGTTTGCTGTTTTTTCCCTTGCCGATTCATATGAGATTGACTTCATCTGATTAGTAGAAAAAAGTGCGTATGATAGTGTCCAATTGTGTATCATGTACATACGTAGTATAACATGTAACTGTTATGGATAGAGATTCTAGGATTATAGATGTAAGGCAGGAATCTGAGAGCACTGATAATTTTAGAAATAATGGTGGCGATGAGTGATGATGTGGGATTGCAATAGCGGGTCACAAGAGTGTGACAAACATACAAAAGAAGTAAAGGAAAAAAATGACGATATAAAGGATTAGGAAAAAAAAAGACCAGCAGTTCCGTGTTGCAGTTCACGCACAGTTACGAGCATGACATTGATGAATCATCCCATTTACAGTTACAATTCTAACGTGCATAAGAACATGGTTAATGTCCCCCCTTTAGGAATGGTCTAAAGACACTTCAGTCAGTAGCACTGCCCCGAGGAAGTTTTACGTTTTCGGGCCAGACAAAAGCATAACATCAATATCGTTTACATTTTATCTATGACAATAGATAGCATGTGTATAGCGCAAATCCCCACTCAAAGGCACACTCTAAGCGCTTCACAATCTATACCATTACCCCATCAGACCTGAGAGCCTTTTCAAACAACATCACATGAGAAGCGTGCAGTGCAAGTGGACATTTATAGTTGTTTAAACACTAACATACTGACAAGATCTTTCGCTGTCTATGACTGGGTACCCATTCCTAAGGACACAACCTCGGGGCCGCAGCCCGAACCCCCGAACCCAAAACCTCACGATTACGAGTCCGGTAGCCTAACCACTATCTATCGTATAATCAACATCAGAGTGCTCCAGCTATAAGCTGTGTCTGCCTGATATGTTACGAAATTTCCAAGCCTTCCTATACTTGATATTTCCCACTAAAACGCCATATTTACAAGGCAGTTAGTATTCACAAAACTTTTGGTTCTGAAAATACTTTACCTTTCATTTGAAGGGGCTTAAAGTGCACAAGTAAGCTCAGACTCAAAGACTACTTTTCAATCAACCGCCAAAACCATCCAATGTGGGAGTAAGGTCTATAGAAAAATGCACAATGTAAGAGTTCCAAGGCCTGTAACTGTTAAATAGCGCTCGCATGATGCTTTAAAATAAATATTTTGTTCCATTTTGTTTCCTTTATGTGTTTTAGTCTACATAAATTAGTGCTCTTTCGTATTTCGTACGCTTATAGCTTTAGTTGCTGAACGGCACATGCAACACAATACGTTCATATAAGTGCCGAATACAAGAGGCGTTACAAGAACGTAAAAACACAAAAAGAAGAGAAATGAAGAAGACGCAGGTTTGATAGGAAAGAAGGAGCAAACCATATCAGAGCACCTGCCAACCACTCATGCTTACAGTTTAGGAATATACACAGTCATGTAACCCCTACGCGAAACGACATTTTGACGCCAGTAGTAAAGCCTGAAGGTGAACTCGTCATACAAAATAACACTAAAGAGGTTATTAACTCCATTCCCAGCCGAAGCAACCAACGATTCTGTAAACACCGACCAAAGGAAGGAGATTTTGAGAGGTGAAGAGTATTTGCCCTTGACTGCATCTGTGAGCGACAGACGGAAACGTGAGTTATCTCCCTTCACTTTTGTTTTGCTTGTTTCGCTTTCCTTTTATATTATTATTATTATTATTATTATTATTATTATTATTATTATTACTCTTTTTATTAATAATAGTATTAATATTATTATTATTGTTGTTACTGTTGTTGCTGTTGTTGTTATTGTTAATATTAATATTAATTCGCACGGTACGTCATCTCCCAGACTGACGTCTGTCTGTCACAAGGTCAAGATTTGGTGGCTGAGCCCGGAATGCATGTGCTTTCCTGATCTCAATATTTATTCAGATCAGTTATCTCCAATTTCCCTCTCTCAAATCAAAAGAACCCTAGGCCAGACAGAAGTAACCCCACACACTGATTAAAAAATTGATTGATTGATTGATTGCCTGATTGCTTGCTTGCTTACTTGATTGATTGATTGATTGATTGATTGATTGGTTGGTTGGTTGATTGATTGGTTGGTTGGTTGAATGCTTCATTGCTTATTTGCTCGAGTTTGATCGACTGATTGATTGACTTATTGTTTTATTTTTTTATTTTTTTATTTATGTATTTATTTACTGATTAATCGATCTATAAAGGTCGATTAATTAACTGGTTAATCAGTCGATTTATTGATCGTTCTGTTGGTCGTCTATCGGTTCGTTGTCATGTGGTTGCCTGCTTGCTTGCTTTCCTCTTGCTTACTTATATGCTTGCATGCTTGTTTGCTTGCTCTGTTGGTTGGTTTATTGATATTCCCAAGCCCCGTCCTCTTCCTCTTGCCCTAATTTCAGAGCTTGGAATGAAAATGCTGATCTGCTTTTCACTGAAGACCAACATAAATAAGCTGCTGAAAGTGAAGAAGTCGACAACACCTGGAAACATAGACTGCCTGTGTGGGATGCGTGTAATCACAATGCTCTGGATCATCTGTGTGCACACGCTGTTCTACTCCTCACAGACTGCAAGTGAGTAGTCACAGAAAAAAAAAGATTCACCTTTGATTAGTTTTTCGGTTGGTCGGTTGGCTCGTTGGTCACTTGGTCGGTTGATTGACTGATTGATCAAGTAAGTACTAATCGTTTGGCCGGTCGTCAATTGGTTGGTTGGTTGGTTGGTTTGTTGGTTTATTGGTTGGTTGATAGGTTGTTTGGTTGATTGATTAGTTAGTTGATTGGTTGGTTAATAAAATGGTAATACGTTGCTTTTTTTAAAACATTTTTGTTTCGTTCATCTTAATTAGATTCCAGATTCCTTACGTAAATGTAACTATTGAATACCCACCCCATCCACAACCCCAGAAAGTAAGCAAATGGATGAATACACAAATATCCTACTTTAAAACGGTAATTTAAGACGGGTGGGAGGGGGGGGGTTTACACCTGAAGGCTATCTCGCTTATTAGATGAGCAAATTCTTCCAAATTTCACACAAAATTATCACCTTTAGTTGGGTGTAGCGGGGCTATCCGAGGTCGGCCCTTTGCTTTTCTTCACTTTTCCGATCCAGCAAATTCTGAGTTCTACCCCTTCAGCCTGTCGATATGGCAAAGAATATGCAAGGAGGTGGGGGTGGGGGGGGGGTTATTTATCAGTTGTGCTTTGTCGGTGTATAGAGTAATTTCCAATATCTTGGGAAGCAGATAGGTAAGGTAGCCTACTTCGCAGGTTTCTAAGTGCAAGGCAGGTATAGGGAATATGGCGTGATGCTGTTTCATCATGGCAGTCACACAGTGGGCAGGCAGTTTGGGGGTTTTCTTACGGATCCTGTTTATGCAGGAATTCGGTGGGATGTGTTGTTTTTGCAGGTGAAAGATAGTGACTTGTTCTCTTCTACTCGTGGATTTTAGTTTATCTTTTGAGTTGGGAGCAGTCATGTGTGCTAAAACAGTTCATCCAGTTTTGCCTATTGGTGTTGCATTTGGTGATGTTCTTGACTGCCTGTTGTGATACTGGGATTTGGGGTTGTATTTGTGATGCTTCCTTCTTAGCCAGAGTATCTGCTTTGTCAGTTCCTGGGATTTTTCTTTGACCAGGTATCCACTGTCATGTAAAGTCAAGTCAACGGCTGGATAGGTCAGCAGGAAGGTGTTAATTATTAAAGCCACAGATAGGCAGACTGGGCTTTCGTTTAGAGGCAAGGGTGAGTTTGGGAAAATTCTTGTCAATATTAATGTGTACCAAGCGCTCATATAACCTTATACAGTTGTGAGCACCGTAAAACACAAACCAAAAAAACAAATAGGAGGGGAGCGGCCATGACACTGTGGGATCTATGAGTACTAGATCTAGTCTATGAATAGGATTTTAAATTCAAACCTAAGGAGAGGAGGCGCCAATGGGCTCCTGTTTTTTGTTTGTCTTTTTGTTATTGTTTTTTTAAGGAGGGGGGGGGGGTAATTGTCTTTTAAAAATCTTTTTATTGATTTTTTCCCTCTAGCCAATGTTTATGACTACGTAAAGGAAGAAACGAGAAACATTTTCTTTCAAGTCATGGCGACTGCATCGGTGCAATGCGACACTTTTTTCACAATGGGGTAAGTATCTCTTCTTGTATGTTTACCAAAAAAGTAGGTCCGGGTAAACTGATTTTCTTCTTTTTTGTTGTTGTTGTTGTTGTTGTTGTTGTCTTTAGAGGTACATGTAAAAAAAACTTAACCTATGTTACAAGTAAGTGGGTTGTTTAATCAAATAGAAAAAAAAATATTTGAAAAGCGTAGGTATATGCACTAAAACTAAAGCGAAGACAGGGAATTATCAATAATCATAGGTACCGTGCAACGTGGAATTTCTGAGAGAGCTATCGTCAAGAGAGGAGTTTAATGTAGCAGTTAAGAACAGGTTCCAAGTGTTGGAAACGCTAGGCGAGAATAGTAGCGTGGAACAAAACATGGGAGACAATAAAAGAAGGCTGGGCCACTGTGTGTCAGGAGGTACTAGAGAAACGGAAACGTTAGCACAAGCCTTGGATATCGGCCACCACTCTGAGGAAGATAGAAGACAGGAAAAAGAAAGAAAAAGGATCAGGTAACCAGGAGCAAGACAAGAGCAGCCAAAGCAAAGACCCAAGAAGAATACACAAAAGCAATGAAGGAAGTGAAAGTCAGCGTAGGGAAAGACAAAAGAAACTATGTAGATGACCTAGCGCTCGGGGCAGAGGAAGCAGCAGGGGCAGGAAACATGAGAGGACTGTATGAAACCACCAAGACACTTGCAGGCAGATACTAAGAACGCAGATGTGCCAGTGAAGGATAAGGAGGGAAAGCTTCTCATAAATCCAGACGAACAGAAAGAACGCTTGAAGTAACATTTCAAAGAGCTACTGAACAGACCAAAGCCAGAATAACAGTTTGACATTCCACCAGCAGAGATTGATCTAGGGGTGAGGGAAGAAAAGCCTAGTTCAGAAGAGATCAAGGAGGCGATAAGACACCAGAAAGCAGGCAAGACAGCCGGCCCAGATGGAATTCCCCCAGAAGTTCTCAAGGCGGATATCGACACTGCGGCAGGGATTCTTCATGGAATTGTTGGCAAGATATGGGACAGGAAAGAATTTCCACAGGATTGGAGAGAGGGGTTGCTCGTGAAACTACCCAAGAAAGGAGACCTGCATGAGTGTGAAAACTATAGAGGAATCATGCTCCTTTCCATTCCGGGGAAGATTTTAAGTCGTACCATACTGGAAAGACTGAAGGAAGCCGTGGATGCAAAACTAAGAGAGGAGCAGGCAGGATTTCGTAAAAAGAGATCATGTACAGATCAGATTGCAACTTTGAGGATAATAGAGGAGCAGTCCACCGAGTGGAACTTTTCCCTGTACGTTAATTTTGTCGACTACGAGAAAGCTTTTGACCGTCTAAATAGGGACTCAATATGGAAGCTCATGCGCCACTACGGAATACCTGACAAGTTCGTGAGATTGATCAAGAAGATGTATGAGGGAATGAGTTGCAATGTCTTACTTGGAGGACTGTGGACAGACTTGTTTGAAATGAATACAGGAGTGAGACAGGGACGCCTGCTATCGCCTTTTCTCTTTTTATTAACAGTGGATTGGATAGTGAGGCAGACAACATCGGGACAACGCGGTGACATACAGTGGACCCTCTCCAGTCAGTAGGAAGACTTCGACTTTGCCGACGACTTGGCACTTCTTTCTCACAGTCGAGCCCAGATGGAACAGAAAACAGATCGCCTCAGGACGTTCTCCCGTAGTGTTGGACACCATATTCACATGGATAAAACGAAAGTTCTACGAATGAATGCAGCCGACGTTCCTATCACACTGCAAGGGGCACCATAGGCGGATGTTGAGTCCTTCACCTACCTGGGAAGTGTCATCAACAAGGCAGGGGGAACAGACGAAGACATCAAGGTCAGAATCCAAAAGGCAAGAGCAGCATTCATCATTCTCGGGAATATATGGATGTCTAAGGAACTAGGATTGAACACCAAGCTGAGGATCTTCAGAACAAACGTGAAGACTGTTCTACTATATGGTTCAGAGACATGAACAACAACAACAACAACACCATCATCACCGCTGCGATCACCACACCATCAAAGCAATTGCCACCACTGCCATCATCACCACCATAGTTACCATCACCACCACTACCACCACATTCAACTCTAAGCATTGCAGTAATATTTCATATAACAGTGCACGCTTGTCACTCTTATCTATTTTTTTTTTATTATCTTGTCTTCCAGGGGTCTAGTCCTAGCCTACACAAAGATGAGCATACTGACGAACACAAATGGTCGAACTAACTGGCCACTGTTTTATCTAGACAGATATCTCAGGTAACAACCCTTTCTCCGATTCTCTGTGCTTGTCTGCCTCTGTCTGTCTGTCTGTCTGTCTGTCTGTCTGTCTGTCTGTCTGTCTGTCTGTCTGTCTGTCTGTCTGTCTGTCTGTCTCTCTCTCTCT